TAGCAGCAGAAGCTGTTCAGCAGCAGCGGCAGCAACAGCAGCAGCTGCAGCGGTTGCAGTAGCTGCAGCACCGCTGGTTCGTGCTGCAGCTGTTGCTGCCGTGCAGCGACCAACAGCAACAGCAGCAGCAGCTGTACGCCGAGGTGGCTGCAGCAAGAGCAGCAGTTGCTCCTCCCCAATGTCTCGCCTAAGACTGCAGCAGCAGCAGCACCGGCAACAGCAGCAGAACCAGCAGCAGCAGCAGCAGCAGCAGCAGCAGCAGCAATGATAGGCAGCAGCTCAGTTCCAGAGGGGGGAGAAGGAGAAGGAAAGCATCGCCTTCAGGTGCTGAAGGTCTCCTTCCCATCCCCCACTCATCGCAGCAGCAGCAGCAGCAGCAGCAGCACGCCTGCTGCTGCTGCTACAGCAGCAGACGCAGCAGGAGGGGGCAGCAGCAGCAGCAGCGCTGACAACTCCGCTACCCACCGCAGCAGCAGCAAAGCTGAAGAGACATTTGTTTGTCTTTCTTCGCTCTCCCCCTCTCCGCAGGCTGCCGTCAGCAGCAGCCGCAGCAGCAGCTGCAGCATCAGCAGCAGCAGCAGCAGCACATGCATATCCCCGCATGAATATCTCGGCAGCTTCTTCCCCAGCCCCAGCAGCAGCAGCAGCAGGAGCAGCAAGAGCAGCAGCAAATTCTGGGTTTCTAATCGTAGACCTGTTGATGTAGTTGTCTCGAAGTGTATATACGCTTTAGAAGACAGGCCTACCTGTTTGCTGCTGCCTCCGCCGCAGCAGCAGCAGCAGCAGCAGCAGCAGCATGATGGAGACGATTGGGGGGATTCTGCTGCTGCTGCTGCAGCAACAGCTAACGCTTCATCAACACCCTTCTCGTCTTCCCTGTTCAAGTGGCTAGGCAGGAAGCAGCAGCAGCAGCAGCAGCAGCAGCAGCCAGTTTCAGCAGGATCTTCTTTCTCTCCTTCCTCAAGTGCAGCAGCAGCAGCAGCAGCAGCAGGAAAAGGCTGTCTCAGCACCTATGGAGGCGCCCCGCCACCTCCGCCTCCGGCTCCTCAGCAGCAGCAGCAGCAGCAGCAGCAGCAGGAGGAAGCAGAGGGTCGTTTATCTTTTTTGCTAGCAGCAATTGGTGCAGCAGTAGGAATCGGGTGTATCTGGAGGTTTCCTGCATATTGTTATAAGTGGGGAGGAGGGACATTCTTAATTGCTTATTTGCTGCTGCTGCTGCTGCTAGGCGTGCCGCTGCTGTCTCTCGAAGTTGCATGCGGTCAGATATATAAAGGAGGTGTTATTAAAGTGCTGTCTCTTCTGTCTCCTTCTTTAAGAGGGCTTGCTGCTGCTATGCTGCTGCTGTCTCTCTTCATTTCTTCTTATTATGCTAACTTCTTATCCTGGGGGCTTACTTATGCTGCTGCTGCTTTTTCGCCTGCGCTGCCTTGGAGTGTACAGGCAGCTGATAAGCAGCTGTGTGCTGCTGCATCTCTGCAGCAGCAAAGTGTCTGCCGAGCAGCACAAGCAGCAGGGCTTTTCTGTAAGTGGGAGCCTGCTGCTGCTGCTGCTGCAGCAGCAGCAGGTGGACGCTGCGTCGCAGACGCAGAAGCAAAGGCAGCAGCTTTCTTTGCGCATGCAGTGCTGCAGCAGCCGAACCAGGCCTCAGCAGCAGCAGCAGCAGCAGCGGCAGCAGCAGCTGAGGCAGCAGCAACTGCAGGAGTTCCAGACGAGTCCGCAGCAGCAGCAGCAGCGGCAGCAGCAGCAGCAGCAGCAGCAACAGCAACGAGCCCCTTCGGATGGGGTATGCCAGCAGCAAGCTTTAGTTTGCTGCTGATTTGGTTATTTGTATTAGGGTGTATATACAGGGGTTTTCGGGGTGTTGTAGGTTTATGTTTTATTTCTTTGCTGCTGCCGTTTAGCTGCGTGCTGCTGCTTGCATGCGGTGCTGCTGCTTTGCGAGGAGCGAGTGAAGGAGTGCAGCAGCTGCTGCAGATAGACTGGGGGCTGCTGCTGCAGAGCTTAGAGCTTTGGGCTGAAGCAGCAAGTCAAGTGTTTTTCTCTTTAAGTGTTTTTCAGTGTACTATGTTTAGTTTTGCTGCTCGCAAGAAGACGAGGCCCAGCCCCACAGCAGAGGCTTTGATTGTTGCTGCTGCGAACATCTTCATTTCTTTTCTTTCTGCTGCTGCAGCATTTGCTGTAGCAGGACATCTATCTCACACTGCAGCAGCAGCAGCAGCAGCAGGAGCAGCAGCAGCAGCAGAGTCAGAATCACCCGGACCAGGAGCACCACCAGCAGCAGCAGCAGCAGCAGCAGCAGCAAAGTGGGGAGACCTGCAGCTTGAGGGGCCTCGGCTTGTCTTTGTGCTGTATCCGCTGCTCTTTGAAGCTCTACCGCTGCCGCATGTCTGCTGCTTTTTCTTTTTTACTTCGTTTGTGCTGCTAGGCATCAGCAGCATTTCTTCTCTTGTGCATCCAGCAGTAGATGTGCTGCTGGCAGCACGCTGCTGCAGCAGCAGCAGCAGCAGCAGCAGCAGTAGCAGCAGCAGCAGCAACAACAACAACGTCAGCAGCAGCATCAGCAGCATCAGCAGCTTCAGTATCGTCAGCAACAACAACAACAACAACAACAACAACAACAACAGCAGCAGCAACTGGGGATGCAGCAGGCGGAAGGTGATATCTGTTTGTGTTTGCTGCTGCTGCTGCGCTCTTAGCTTTGCGTTTTGCTTGTCTGCTGCTGTAGAGCCGCTGCAAGCAGCAGATTTTCATTGGGGTGTAAACGGTTTGCTGCTGCTGGGAGCAGCAGAATCTCTTGCTTTCGGCTGGCTGCATGCATTTAGGAGACAGAAGAAGCAAGTAGGGGCTGCTGCTTCTTATCTTAACTTCTTTTCATTTGTTGCTGCAGTTTGCTGCAGCAGCTTAGTACTTTGCTTCACCACCAGCATCACCACAGCTGCAGCAGGAGTTGCTGCTGCTGCTGCGCTGCTGCTGCTTGGCTGCGGCTGCTCCTTCTACCTCGCTGTTCTCTTTGCGAAGAGGAAACAGAGACAGAAAATACTTGCTGCTGAGGAGGCAGCAGCAGCAGCAGCAGCTGCTGCTGCTGCTGCTGCTCTTTACAGAGAGAAATTAGCAGCTGTTGTGGGGGACGAATTCGCCGTCTGCTGCGCTGCCAGTCCAGAAGCAGCAGCAGCAGCAGATGCAGCGGAAGCAGAGAGCCAGCAGCAACACGAAGCAACAGCCGCAGCAGCAGCAGCAGCAGCAACAGCAGCACCTGTTGCTGTTTCAGAGGGTGGAGAGGCTGCAGCAGCAAGGAGAATAAACGAGGAGGATCGGTCTGCTGTCGCTTCCGCTGCTGCTGCTGCAGCAGCGGCAGCAGCAGCAGCAGCAGCTGCTGCTGCTGCTGCTTCCAGGAGCTGCAGCAGCAGCAGCAGCAGTGGAGGCTGGGGTTTGCTGCGGCACTGCTACTACTGGCTGTTCTGGGGGAACATCGAGCACCTGCGTAGACACCTGAATGCAATAACAGCAGCAAACTGCAGCTTGCTGCAGCTGCTGCCGGTGTGGTCTCTGCTGATGAAGTACCTGCTTCCTGCTGTTGTTTGCTTCTTGTTTATTCAGAGCATGCAGCAGGGACTTAAGCTTCTTCCCGATGCTGCTGCTCCTGCTGCTCCGGCTGCTGCTGCTGCTGCTGCAGGAGTAGGAAGATATTATCAGATACCCATTGCTTCAGTGCTGCTGCTGCTGCTGGCTATTACTGCAGCAGGGATAATACACCCTTCGTTATTCTCCTTTCTCTTGCCACTCGATATGAACAGCAGCAGCAGCAGCAGCAGCAGCAGCAGCAGCAGCAGCAGCTCAGCAGCTGCTGCAGCACGCTTGCAACCCCCCGTAAAACCAGCAGCAGCCGCCCTGCAGCAACAGCAGCACTTGCATGCGCAGCATCATCTATGGGATTGTCGCAGTTGCAGCACCAGCAGCAGCAACAATGGCAGCAGCAACAACGACAACTGCAGCAACAGCAGCAGCCCTCAATCGCTCAGCTGCGACTTACCTACGCAAGCGTCAGAGCTGTAGTTACACTGGAGGCTGCAGCAACAGCAGCAACAGCAGTAACAGCAGCAAGGGCAGCAGCAATAGCAACAGGAACGATAACAGCAGCTGCAACGGCAGCACCAGCCGCTGCAGCAGCAACAGCAGCAGCAGCAACAGAGCAGTGCCGCCAGCAAAGACTGGAGACGTGCACCCACTAGTTAGCAGCAGCAGCACCGGCAGCAGCAGCAGCAGCAGCAGCAGCAGCAGCATGGGTCTGTTATTCTGCATCGGCAGTAGCTGCTGCCACAGCACGAGGACGACAGCAAATATCCGCAGGTTATGAGCCGTAGCAGCAGCAGCAGCAGCAACAGCAGCAGCAGCAGCAACGGCAGCATCAGCAACAGCAGCACTCTGTTGCGCAGCAGCAGGCGAACCTATAGGAACCACAGCTGCGTGCAGCAGAAAAAGCCGCTGCTGCAGCAACAGCAGCAAGCCGTTAGTCGCAGCAGCAGCAGCAACAGTAACACCTGCAGCAGCGCCAGCAAGAGCAGCAGCAAAGCTCGTGATTTGCTGCTGTTTGGAAGGTACCCCTACAGGTTAATGCTTTTGCGCAGCTGCAGCAGCAACGGCAGCAGCAACAGCAGCAAGCCGTTAGCCGCAGCAGCAGCAGCAGCAGCAGAAGCACAGCGACCGGTACATCTTTTGAAACCAATGCAGCAAAAGGATAAGAGCACAGCGGCGGCATGCTGGCAGCAGCAGCAAAGCAGCAGCAGCAGCAGAGCAGCAGCAGCAGAACAGATCTTGTTTCTTGCGCTCAGGAGACAAAACGGAGGCATGCGTTAGGCTGTCTCTCCCCTAGAGCGTCACAGCAGCTGCTGCTTCTGCTGCCTTTGCTGCAGCAACAGCAGCAGCAGCAGCAGCACCTGCTGCTGCTGCTGCTGGTGTCTTTGCTCAGGTGGTTTTATACAGGGGGCTGCATGCAGCCCCAGGCAATTGGTTTAGAGCTGTAGGGGGTGAACAGCAACTTATTTCCTTAGGAAATGTTTGTTCCTCTTGCTGCTGCTGCCGCTGCTGCTGCTGCTGCTGTGCTGCTATACTGTTGCTGCTGCTGTGCTGCTGCTGCGGCTGCTGTGCTGCTGCTGCTATACTGTTGCTGCTGCTGTGCTGCTGCTGCTGCAGTTAATGCTGGCAATGAGAAGAGACACAGAGAGACAGAGACAGGAGGAGAAGCAGAGAGAGATAGATAGAGAGAGATAGAGGTAGAGAGACAGGCAGATAAATATAAACAAATAATAAAAAGAGAGACAGAAGGAGAGAGAGACAAACAAACGAAGCAAAGAGAGAGTGAAGCCGCAAGGAGACAAACAAAAATAAGAGAGAGACAAATACAGACATAAATAAACACGAACAACCCCTCTATACTCTGCAGCTAAGTTTGCTGCAGCAGATGCGCACATGCCTGCTGCTGCTGCTGCTGCAGCAGGTTCGCTCATGCCTGCTGCTGCTGCTGCTGCTGCTGCTGCAGTTGCTGCAACAGCAGAAAGCAGCTGTTGTGCTTTGTTGCTGCCGTTTGTTTGCTGCATTTATTTATTTATTTTGTTGCTGCTGCCCTTCTTTGTGTTGCATGCGCTTACTTCAATATATATATATATAGTATATATTATATATGTATATAATAATTATATATATAATTATATATATATACTTGGGTGTCTCTCTTTGTCTTCGTTTGTCTTCGCTTGTTCTCTCTGTCTCTTCTTTTGTCTCTTTTATCTCCTGCTTAGCTGCCTGCTTCTCGCGTCTAATATATATATATATATATATGTATATATTATATTAAATATTATATATTAAATATTATATATTATATATTATATATTATGCATTATATATTATATATTATATAGATGTATAGTAAACAGCAGAGACAAGCCTAAGCAGAACAAAACAAAGAAGCTAAAGTCGCACAGCTTTTGTCTCCGCTATAAACAAACAAAACAAACAAAAGTATTTAATTGTTTATTGCTGCATGCAACCCACCGAACATAAAAACAAAACAACAAAACAAACTAAACACAAAAATCCTAAATCCCACCCATGCATGCATGCAGATAATGTCGATAAAGAGGTGTCTCCTTTTTAGGGCCCCACACCGTCTAAAGGGACCTCATCCATACTGCCGAAAGATACACCAGCTGCTGCACCTTGCTGCTGCGGTTGCTGCTGCTGCTGCTGCACAGCAGCAGCAGCAGCAGCAGCCGTAGCAGATAGAGGGGTAGGTGCTGCTAGGTGTTGCTGTCTGCCTGTGGTGATGCGGCTGCTGCTGCTGGTGCTACTGCTGCCGTTGCTGCTGCATGCATGCAGTGATGGGGCTTTATAGGGGCTGCATGCAGCAGAGCTGCATGCAGCTGCAGCAGGTTTATAATCTTTTGCTGCTTTTTCTTGAACATAAGCGAGAAAGGCTTTGTCATCAGAAGCCAACTAAACAAAACAACACACAAACCCTAAACCCTAAACCCTAAACCCTAAACCCTAAACCCTAAACTCTGTGGGGAGATGAAAAGACCAAAGGAGACAAATTAGACAGAAAGACAAAAGGAGACACCGAGAAGGCAAACGGAGACAAACAAATAAAACAAACAAACAAAACAAAACAAAACAAACAAACTCAATATCAAAACAAAATAAATAGCAGAGACAAACTTAATAAAGAGACAAACTTAATAAAGAGACAAACTTAATAAAGAGACAAACTAAATAAAGAGACAAACTTAATAAAGAGACAAACCTGAAGAGCTGCAAACCACTGATTAAACTCTCGCGTTGTGTCAAATCGAAATATTATTGAAGTGCGAGGCAGCAAACCCCTTCGCCGCTTCTCCTATAACAACCACAAACCCTAAACCCTAAACCCTAAACCCTAAACCCTAAACCCTTATCTCTAAACCCTAAACCCTAATACACCACAAGCAGTAAACTCTAAAGCCTCAGTGCAACATGCAAAATTGTAAACCCGAAACCCTAAACCCTAAACCCTAAACCCTAAACCCTAAACCCTGGCCTCACGGTTATTTGGATGTCCATTTTGCCGACTTCGCCGCTGCCGACTCGTTTAATCTGCACAGTAGCAGACACCCAAACCCTTCCTAAACCCTAAACCCTAAAACCTAAACCATAAACCCTAGACCGTAAACCCTAGATCTTAAACCCTAAACCCTAGACTCCTACACCGTAAACCGTCAACCCCTAAACCCTAAACCCTAAACCCTTAAACCCCTAAACCGTAGACCCTACCCCAGTAGACCCTAAACCCTAAACCCTAAACCCTAAACCCTAAACCGTCGCTAACCTCTGCTCCTGCGACGTAGAGTGTACGTAGAGGTTGTTGTGTATTGTTTTTTAAGAAGAAGTGCAGCAGCCTCGAGTGAGACAGCAGCAAATCTCCTTCAGTCCAGCGTAAGAGCAGCGATTGTAAACCCCTAACTTGCT